ATCATCCAATCTCAATGCCCAATCCTTCCTATTTATACTTACAATTTTTAAAAAATCCTCTTTATCTCCATATTGCTAATTTCAACTTGACCACTAGTCTGGGGATGATATGGAGTTGATGCTCTATGTTTAATTCTATATTTCAAATTTAAAAATTTCACTCTCATATTACAAAAGTGACTCCCCACTTCAATAAAAATTACCACAAGTACTCTAAATCTAGAAAATATATATTTCTTTAAAATTTTGTCACAACCTGGGCATCAGTTTTGAGTGTTACTACTCCTTGAATCCATTTGGAGACATAATCAATTTGTATCAAAATATATTGGTTTCAAAAAGAATGAATGAAAAAGCCCATTAATATTTGTCCCCAAACATCAAATATCTCAACTTCTAATATATAATTCAAAAGAATTTTATTTGTTTTTGAAATATTCCTTACCCTTTAACACATATTAGATTTATTAACATAATTATTTACATTCTTAAACAAAGTGGCCTAATATAATATAGATTGCATGATCCTAGAAGTACTTCTAAATCCTCCAAAATTTCTACCATATTTGAATAATGACAATGTTTAATAATAGGTTCAATCTCGTTTTCCAGGATACACCTCTGATGATTTGTTTCTTTTGTAGATTTATAAATAAGTATGGCTCATCCCAAAACTACAATTTGTAATCCTATATAAATTTATGCCTTTGGGTGTATTTCATGTCATTGGGAATAACTCCACTCATAATGTTAACATACCAAGACATACATAATGAATGCAATTCAAACAACTTTTAATATAAACAAAATTCATTAATGTTACACTCATTATTTGTAGGATTTTTTTGGTCTAATCTAGAAAAGTGACAAGCAACCTGATTTTATATTCCTTTCTTATCTAAGATTTCTATATCAAACTCTTATACCAAGAGAATCCACCTCACCAATCTAGGCTTTGCATCTTTATTTGTTACCCATATATTTGATAGTAGATTGGTAAATATATATAATTACTTTAGTGCCAATTAAAAAGTTTTAAACTTTTCAAAGGTAAAGATTATGGATATTAATTATATTTTTAGTTATGTTATAATTAATTTGGGTTGCATTTAATGTTCTGCTAGCATAATATATAACATGAAACTTTTTATCAATTATTTGCCCTAAAATAATTCACGTAGCATAATCACTAGTATCACACACATTTCAAAATATAAGTTTTAGATTGAGAGGATCTTTAATTTGAGTTGATTATTTTATTAGAAGTTTGGGATTATAATTTCAAAAAGTGAGGTCTTATAGTTTAAACCTATGCTATAACCTAAATCTAAATTGGGTATTGGCATTAGTGACCCAAACCTAGCTAATGCAATGTAAAATCTGAACTTATCCTGGTCTGGATTGGGGAGGCAGCTAACCACTTAATCGATTAAAATCCATGAGTCTTGTCATTTTTATGAAAGAGTGGTAGGGATATTATTATTATGGTTTTTTAGAGTTGGGACCGACATCTAGAGTAGATCCTAATTAGTCCTTTGGCTTATGCTGGTTGAGAATGCTTGAATAAAACATAATTAAAATTTTAGACACATTTAATTACTTTTTTATGTAATGCATGCTAATCGACTTGATGAAATATATAAAATGATATATAGCTATTTTAAAAGGACTTAAAAATAGTTTTTTTTTCCTTAGAGATTGCACAACATCCCCTTGATAAGGTTGTATCCTAATAGGTCAGGTGGCCTACTTAAAATTACAAGTGGGGAGGTGCCTAACAAGGAAGAGAAGTAAAAATATACTTATGCTGACTTTTGCTGGTCATGGGCTTACTTCTTAGATCATTAGAGTTTTTATTTTATCTTAACAAAATTTTATTTAAATTTGAGTATAAAAAGTTTGTATAAGTGTCCTCACGAGCCTCCACATATCCATGCTAAAAATAAAAGACGACATACAAATCTACAAAAATATTAAGAAAAATAGTAATCATATATGCAAGCAAAGTAAATCAATCAAATCAATAGATCAAATTAATTAATTAAATGTCCATAGCCAAATTATCTATTTATTATAACCCAGAATTTATAGAAATTAAAAGTTGCTAGGTACCACTGATAATAAACCTAGATTCTAATCCAAGGATGGGCGTAAGTAACTTTGAGTGGGATACTTCAAATCTTCACATCTTCATCCTTCTTTGAGCTCCTTGAATCCTCCATGTCTAGATATCTAAAGAAAAAGAAACTCTCCCTTATAGGGATGTTTTCTTTTCTCATAAGATATTGAAAATCATCCTAACTTTAGATGTCTAAATGGAGGGAAACCCTCCTCAAAGGGGTTGTTTCCTTTTCTTTGGACTCCAAGTTGGATATTTGTATCCCGACTCAAAGACTCACTTTCACAACTCAAGACTTAATCAGTAAACACTCACATCAATTAATTTTTAATCATAACATGAAATTAAAACTTGAAAACTCTATTGCACGATAGAGAGAGAAAGTAGAGAGAGACTCTGAGTTTTCAAAAATCTGTTATTTTGAAAACTCTATTTTTGTGGCTTCGTCGTTGGCTTAATGACGACGAGCGGTCGTCGGCCACCAGCAGCCGTCGGCGGTATGGAGGATCGTCGATCAGCAGGACGAGCTATCTTTGGAGGAGCTCGTGATGTTTCCTTGTCACCACCGGCTTTTGGAGATGATAGATTGTTGGTCTTCCCTGGTTTAAAAAATGCTTCTATGGGAAACAAACCTTTAATCATTAATGAAGGAGGGCAATTGATGAAGAAACAAGTTCTGGAAGTACACGGTAAGGGAAAAGGTAAAATTATTGAAGAGACTATGGAGAAGACGGAAATGCCAGCTAAATTGCTTATTGAGAAGAAAATACTGTGGTGTTTAGATCCAATTCTGAGAACAACCTCATGGAAGATGATTTGTTGAATAAAAACAATGGTAAACTGAAAGCACTGTTGAAGAAGTCCATGGAAGTTAATGTATTGGAACAATATGGCATGAAGGAAGGTAAAACAAATGATAGTAGTAAGAAGAAATCAGATCTGGAAGAAGTTCGGGATTGTGCTGCTGGAGAACTTGCTAGTTGTCTAGAGGTTACTGAAGAAATGCCCAAAAGATCAAATTCTAGATCTTATCAGAATGTATGGTCCAAAAGTAAAAATATTAAAGTCACGGAATTGGACTTTGGAAGCTGCATAGCTAATGATGGTAAGACTGTGAAACTTAATGTGGAGAAAGCTGCTAAAAATTCCAAAAAACTGAATAAATCCCTGGTAGTTAAAATCTTCAGAGGAGATGCTCCTCTCTCTTCAATTAGCTATGAGTTGAGGAAACAATGGGAACAATATGGAAAATTTCATATTACTGTTTTGGGAAAAGGATGGATATTATGCTCTTTCTGTGAAGAAGAGCACATGGAAGCTGTTCTTACCAATGGGCCTTGGTTCGTCAATGGCAATATAGTTGGCATGGATAGATGGTCTCAAAAGTTTGATCCTAATTCTCTAAAAGGGCTATCAGCGCCCATATGGATTAGATTACCAAACTTACCACTCTTTTGTTGGGATGAAGTAAATATATGTCGTATAGCATCCATGGTGGGAAACCTTACCTCATAGATGGTAATATGCTCCAATGGTCAAGAAGGGAATTTGGACGTGTGTGTGTTCGTATTGATCTTGATGCTAAGCTTCCTACAGGAGTTTGGGTAGAGGGAGAAGAAAATAATTTTTTTCAAAAAATAGTGTATGAAAGACTTCCCAATCTTTGCTTTGATTGTGGGAAGATTGGCCATCTCAAAAAATATCTATCCTAATAATATCTTGATGAATAAAGAAACTGCAATTCAACAGGAAAGAGATCTTCCTAAAAACAACGTGGAAAAGAATACAGAGGCTGGAGCTATACCTATAGAGAATGAAGAATATGGCCCTTGGATGTTAGTGAATTATGGGAGGAAAACTATCAACAAAAACAGGAACAATAAATCATCAATTTCAATTGATAATAGGAGAAAAGTAGCTCAATCAAAACAGTATGTGGCCATTGGAAATAAAATTCCTGAAAAAAAAACTGAAGACAATCAGAGAATTGAGGTTCAAGAATGTTCTGAAGTAATCACTAAAATAGGAGTTTCAAAGGAAGCAACTGTAACTGTGGCTGAACACAACAGTTTTCAAGCTCTTGCAGATATAAAAGAAGGAGAAATATATCAAATAATTTCAGACAAAGCCTTGAATGGAGGGAAATCTCTAGCTGAAGTTACCAAAGAAATAGAAGAAGATATCAACAACAATGAATTAGAAGAAGCTGTTTCTGTGTCAACAGATAAAAGTAATGCTGAGAACATTAAGAATGTTGACTCTGCAGTCCATATTAAGAAGAAAAGATCAAAGCAGCTAAAGGAATTGGGACCAATCAACTCTACAACTAGAACCCGGAGATTGGAGATAGAAGGGAAAGGTACTTTGGGGAGTAATCCTCATAATCTTATTTAATGTATTCAATTGCTTTTTGGAATTGTAGGGGAGCAAGAAAAAGGAATGCTTCCTTATATCTTAAAGAGTTTGTAAAAAATAATGGTATTTGTTTTATTGGTTTAGTTGAAACTAAACTAACTGAAATTGATAGAAGTATGGTTGATGGCATGATTGGGAGTAATTGGGATTTTTTTATGTCCCGTCCAATGGTCTTTCTGGTGGAATTATAATTCTTTGGAATTCTGATACAAGTTTGTTCACGGTGGAAGAATCATCCTCTCAAATGGTGATTGGAGATTTGAAAGTCATAAATAATGAGAAGTGGAAGGTAGCTACTATATATGGGAGTACGGAAGTGCAAAAGAGAAGGGAATTATGGAATATGTTAGATAATTATTCTAATAATGAATCTCCTATTGCCATTGGTGGAGACTTTAATTGTTTGTTAAATAAAGAAGACAAATTGGGAGGTAGAAGATTCATATTTTCTCAAGGATCTAGGGAGATGGAGGAATGCTTGCTTAAGAATGATCTTCATGAAATTGGGTACATTGGTCCTAAATTTACTTGGTACAATAATAAAGTTGGAAGTGCTAGAATCCTTGAAAGATTGGATAGGTGTTTTGTAAACACCATGGCTTTAAATTCTCCATTTAAATTGATAGAAAGGCACTTGGATAGAATAGCCTCGGATCATTGTCCAATCCTCTTACAATTCAAAAACTTCAATACAAATCCTAGAAAGATGATCAAATTTGAAAATTGTTGGGCTTGTTATCAAGCATCATATGGGATAGTAAGGAAGGAATGGGACAAAAATTATCAAGGAAGCTTCTCTGAAGTCCTCAACAAAAAATTTCAAAGGACTTTAAAGTCCTTATTCTTTTGGAGCAAAGCAAAACACAAAGAGCTGAACAATTTGAAAGAAGTTCTCATCCAGGAAATCACGGAAATACAATGCAAAGAGACTTCTATTGGAAGTCTACCGGAGCAAGAACAATGGAATCTCAAAACTAAAGTGATGGAACTTAATGCTACTATGGCAAGGCTTAACATGTGGTGGAAACAAAGGGCCAAAGTCAAATGGTTAAGTGAAGGAGATGGAAATTCAAAGTTCTTCCATACTTATGCTAGTGCAAGAAGGAATGCTAACAAAATTATCAAAATCAAAGATGAAGATGGAATGGTTATAGAAGATCAAAGCTTAATAGAGGAAGTCTTTATTCGGTTCTTTCAAAAAAAGTGGGAAGCTAGAAGAAGCAACTTGGAAGGTTGGCCAACTAATTATAATTCCTTGAATTCTTGTGAAAGAAACATGTTGGAAGCTGATTTATCCATGAATGAAATTGAAGAAGTGGTGCAACATCTAGAAGGGAACATTTCTCCGGGCAATGATGGAATCAATCATACTTTTATAAAAGTATATTGGGAATTTATTAAAGATGATTTTTGTAAAGCTATAAAATTCTTTTTTAGCTATGGAGAGCTAGATAAGGCTTGGAAAGAAACACTTATTGTTCTTATTCCTAAGATTACTAATCCCATTATTCCTTAAAACTATAGACCAATAAGCCTATGCAACACGGTTTACAAAGTAATAGCAAGGATTATTTTGAATAGAGTTAATTTGGTCATTCCCAGACTCTTTACTATGGAGCAAGCAGCATTCATCAAGGGAAGATCTCTATCCGATCATATCTTAGTAGCACAAGAGGCTATTCATAAGCTCCGGGTCTCTAAAGCTTCCAAAGGCCTAGTCTCATTCAAAGTTGATATGGAGCAAGCTTATGACTCCATGGCTTGGTCTTCTCTAAAGAAGGTATTGGAGTATTTTAATTTTCCTCTCAAAATTTCTAAATTAATATTGGAGTGTGTAGAAGATCCCAAGTTCTCTATTATTATCAATGGCAATTGTACAAATTGGATTCATGCTAGAAGTGGCTTTCGGCAAGGATGTCCACTATCCCCCATCCTTTTTATTCTTTGTTCTCAACTTCTATCAAATACTTTTCAACAAAGCTCTTGTGGTATCAAGGTAAACTCGGAAGGTCCTAGAATTTCTCATTTGTTATATGCTGATGATGTGGTCATGTTTTCTAAAGCTAATAGGAAAGAAGTGTTGGAAGTAAAGCAAATCCTTCACAATTTCTGTGAATGGACTAGACAGAAAATAAACTATGAGAAATCTATGTGTTTATTTGGGAAACATGTAAAGAGAAGATACAAAAGAAATGTATCCACAATTATGGGTTTCAAACAGGTGAAGGAGTTCAAATATCTCGGTTTCAAGATGACTTTGAGAAGACTTAGAAGGGATGATTTCCAATTTATCATTGACAATGCCATGAGGAAACTTAATCAATGGGGGAGCAAAAGCTTATCACTTCCTGAAAAAATCATTTTGGTAAAATCTGTATTATTGGCTCTTCCATCATACAATGTAACTCACTCTTTAATACCAAAAAAGCTGCTAGAAGAATTGGACAGAATCTGTAAAAACTTTATCTGGAATAAAAATAATGGTAATGTGGTAATGCATTATGTTACCTGGCCAGTTTTGTGCAAACCAATAAAACTTGGGGGACGTGGTTTACATTCTAATACTTCCAAAACTCCTGCTTTGAGAGCTAGATTAGCTTGGAGATTTATAAATAATAAGCATTCCTTGTTACACAAAGTCATGGCTGCAAAATATGGTGAAAAATTGGATAAAGGTAACTCCAGCGGCTATTTGTCTACAGCTTTTAAATTGTTGAGAGATGGTTTTAAAATGCTCAAACCTATTGTAAGATGGAGAATAGATAATGGAGATTCAGTTGATGCTTTTGAAGATACGTGGATTATGGACAAATGCATATGTAAATGGCCAACATTTGTTGTTCAGTATGAAGGAAACTCTGTTCGGGTTAAGGACTTCATTCAGGATTCTCATTTGAATGATCAAGAATTAAGCAAGTACTTTGGCAAAGAGCTTTTTAACTTGATCAATCAAATTGAAATAAATCATGAGAGCAATGATGACTATTTGGAATTGACTAATCAAAATTCTGGAATGACTATACCAGGATTAATTAGCAAAACTGCAGCTTTACAGATGGAAGATGATTTAAATTGGAAATGGATAAAATCTGCTAAACTGAACACTCGGGTGGAGGTATTCTGGTGGAGATTAAATAGAAATGCATTACCATCTCTCCAATTTCTATGCTATAGAAGATTAATACAGAATTCTAATTGTCCAAGAGGATGTGATGCAATAGAAGATGTAGCACACATTATTTGCAATTGCAGGAAATTGAGGGAAATAATCAAGATTTTAAACAATTGGGGATTTTATATCCCTACTTTTGAGATAAAGGAGCATTGTATTAATTGGATTGAATCCAATATAAAGAAGAAAGGGATGATGATAAACTTATATTGCAACATAGTGTTTCTTGTATGGAAAAGTAGAAACAAGTTAATTCACGATGGTGTAGAAGACAATTCAAGTTATTTAGCTTATAGTGCTATATGCCAATCAGTTGTTTCTCTTAACTTTAGTCAATTTAACTTGGGCTTTTGGGATGTTAATCAATAGTTAAGACTGTCAAATGCTTGGCATCCTCCTCCACCCAATTGGCTAAAGGTTAATGTTGATGCTTCACTTCTTTCTTCACACAAAGCTGGAATTGCTGCAGTTTTCCGAGATAGTAATGGAAGATTCTTGTTTGCTTATGGAAAGTCACTTCTACATTGGGTTATAGCTCAATTGGAGATGCTTGCTATACATTCTCTAAAGGAGGGGATAAAGGATTGGATGTTCAAATACAAGGGCATTATCATAGAAGGAGATAATTCAAATATCATTTCCTACTTCAAAAATGCTTGGAAAACAGGGAGGTTCAAGGATGATGGTATGGAATTTCTTTCAAGTTTTAACTTTGTCTTTTTTAATTGCATTAGCATAGAATGCAATAAGTTAGCAAATTTATGTGCTAACTATGCTCTTTTTAGTAGCTTTGATTGGGTGGATTGTTTAGAGAATAAGATTCCTCCTTCATTCTTTAAAAATTTGAAGGAGGAATCATGCTTGTAGTTACTTTCTTTTTTTATTATTAATTCATAGCTTCGGTTTTGTTTCAAAATAAAAATAAAAATTAAAACTTGAAAAACCTAGCACACAATAGTAAAAAGTAAACACTTGTCTAGCTTATACTAGAGTTTGTTGTCATATCAAATCATCTAAAGTGTGTGAGGTAAGTTGTGTGGCTTTGGTATGTTCTAAACTGGGCAATTTGTTGATGTTATCTAGTGTTTGGGTTTATTAAAGGTCAGAAGGGAAATTTATGTTGGAGTGTAAATATTTGTGTATTAAAGATTTCTTTAGGTATGCTTTAATTGTTAATTGTTATTGCCTTTGTTGCTCACCTAGGCCATGAAGTTTATTTAACATTTCTTGGGGCTAAGCTAATATCTTCGTAGACCTGTGTTACCTAGTAGTAATCAATGTTAATTAAGTTGATTTAATTGATTGAGGATTAAAGGTTGATAAAGTTTGGTTAAGTCTATTAATTACTAATTTGGATAATTAAATTAAAATTTTCTAGAATTTTAAATGAATTATTGAATTTAGAAATTTTAGAATTATTGGAATTACATTATTTTAAGAGATAAAAGTTAACTTTTAAAATTGAAATTATTTTGGTAATTAAAGTAATTTTTAATAAATATTAGACCTTACGATGAGTAATTAGACTCTAAGTTTGTTGAATTTAGAATTTTCCACATTAAGTTCACATTTTGACCTCATTTTGAACTATAGTTGACCAGAAAGTTGACCTTTTGATTTGACTTAATTTTGGAGGTTTAATATTTAAAAAAATACTAGATTTTAATTGGAATTGAAGAATAAGATTCCTCCTTCATTCTTTAAAATTTTGAAGGAGGAATCATGCTTGTAGTTACTTTCTTTTTTATTATTAATTCATAGCTTTTGCTTTCTTTCAAAAAAAAAAAGATAGTTCTATCCTAGAAATCAATGAATTAAATTTTAAAAAACTTTACTTGAGACTTTATAATATGTATAGGATTATGTAATGAAATGATATATGAAAATAAATATATAAATAAAAGCTTTAATTCATTTATAATTTATCAATGTATAATCCAGGGTTTACAATAAAGTAAAGGTGTACAAGCTCCACCAACAACAAGCTTGAATTTCTATTCATATATAATGTTGAATTGAATATGAATATTTATGTTCAATCTTCTGGCTTCTAGATCTTCTATAAAATTCTAAAAGATAATGATCATCAAAAGAAGAAGAATCATTTCCTTTTGGATCCTACAAGTGTATATAAACAATTAGTTTCAAATCTTTTATAACTCTTGACAATATACAACTCAATATAGCTATACAATTATCTAAAACATTTACACTTTTCTTTGCATTTACATCTACATCATTGCCTATGCAAATTCTACTTAATAGAAATATAAAAGGTAGTATAAAAAATATGCACATATACAATACTATGTGACTATATACAAGTAAATATAAAATGGTCTAAGAGCCTACTCCACATGTGCACAAATATAAATGTAAATATGATATCCATAATACATAAAATGAACACTCTAAATATGAGTACCCTTTAGTCAAGGCACTCCAAATAAACCACACGAAACCATTGGCCTAGCATAGGCTAAATGTTGTTGTCATAACAAACCATTTAAAGTGGGTGTATAAGGTTATGTGGCTTAAATAGGCCCTATGCGTTATTAATTTGAAATTTTATATAATCGATTTATTTATTTAAAGCCATTGAAGGTTAGTTAGAATTCAAGTATTTAAGGATTTAAAAGTTTAAAGTTTATTTTATGGATGTTTTAATTGTCACAATTATTTAGCTTTAAGTTTTAAAGAATATTGTGCTCAATAACTTCTAAGTGTCAAAATTCATATATTAGCAAGTCCTAGGCTCATATTTGTAATGCTACCAATTCTCCAAAAACTAGGGTATATAGGTTGCATCGAGTTCTTGCATTTTCATTAAGTGTTTCAGTCCTTAAAATTTCTAATATGATATGCATTAGCCTTCCCAAAAGGACTCAATCATAAGGGTATGAAAGATTTAATTTCAAAGTGTTTTATTACTTATTTAGCTATGATTATTTAAGTTAAATAGTAATTATCATTATTAAACTGGGGCTGTGAGATTTATTTCACCCTCCATTGGGCAAAGCTAATAACCTTATAAGCCCGGATTACCAAAAAATCACCTTGATATTTAAGTTTAATTTTTGTTACCATGGTTCACTGAAATTAATTCATTATGTTGATTGATTGCTAATTTTTTGGTGATTTATTAAATTTTCTAAGTTATTTAATTGTTTAATTAATTAAGTTTTACCAAATGTTGACTTTTTTATTTATCTTTTAATTTTGAGCATCCTAAAAAATCAAAATGTTTTTTTATGATTCATTTGAATATGTGCTTCAAACCCACTAAATTTGGGTTCATCAAAGCCATCATATGTGTCATAATCAGTCCCCTAAGGTAAATGCAT